CGCTGTATACGCCCCCCCCCCCCCCCCCCCCCCGCACAAACCTCACTCCGCGCAACGGGGGATGATCGCACCACGTTGTGTTAAAATGGTCAAGCTTCCTCGAGGCAGTTACACAGTGCTTACAACTGTCTCTGGAAGTGAAAGCACCAGAAAATGAATTAAGTCATACGTAGCTGTCATCCGTACGCAAGGAAGTAAGCACAAGATGCCGAACACCCTTAGCAGGATGCAGCTCACCCTTCATGCGACTCGCCAAATACCTCACGGCGCTTCGCGCTTGGTGATGTGAGAGCCTGGTCCGGTGAGAACCCGGCGTGCTCCGTCCCGGCTTTGTAGGGATGCGAGGTCAATGGTCTAACGACTACGGCATGCACGACTATGAGTACCCCCCCCCCCCCCCCCCCCTGGTCAATACTCCAACAAACAAGGCAGGCAAAACATGAGTACGCTCGCCCCCTACCCACCCACGGCTTATTATTCACCTGCCGATAGACCCCGATGACCCTGGTCTCGCGTTCGGCCAACGCGGCCGATATGTTTCGCCTGTCCCCCCCCTCTTCCGTACACGCCGACAGCTTCGCGTCCAACTCCATCAGCACCGGGTCCAGACGGTGCGCTGTCGTCATCGTTACCGTTACCGTTGGGTTGTTTCGATGACGTACACGTCGTGGTGGGGTGGGTTTGTGGCATCAGTGCAGCACGAGCGAGCGATAGCGCAGAGAATCGACGCCGTTTTGTCGGGTGTGCGTTGTGTACAGCAGCAGCAGCAGCAGCAGTGGCGTCGCCTAAACTGGGAGTACTAACCCTACTACTGTATGTACTATCTATGGGAGAAAACATAGCGAGAGACGGTGTACGTTTATGTACAGCAGCATGGTCACCCAACTCGAGATAAAAATGTAGCGAGAGGTTTACGTGAGACACAGAGAGAGAGAGAGAGAGAGAGAGAGAGAGAGGCCGAAACCAACACGATACTGATGCTAAGGCTCGGAAAAGATAGAGACAACCCAGTGTTTGTGGAGAAAACAATAAATTGACGGATATATTGAGTCAATCACGCGAAGCTCTTAACGCGGCATGCATACAGTATGTGACACAAGACACCACACACCCTGGACCGATTTTCGAAGCTCGATTACTCCTTGACGAAGAGAACGCCGAAATCAAATGGCATGTTTCCGGGAAAAGATCTCGACGAGACGGTTCCAACGCCGACATTTTCGACATCGCCACTGCTGTGGGCTATTGGAGCTTTGAAAATCGGTCCGGGGTGTGTGGTATCTTGTGTAACCGACGGAAGCGCCCGTCCGCACTGGGCGAGGCAAAAGCGAACGCTGGCGATGGTGTGTGTGTTTGTAAAGGCTTGGCCAAAATCAGCAGCAGCCCCAACTTGCTCACGGCGTAAATAGACACTCAAGGGCAACGTGGTAACGTACAGTATACGACACAAGATAACACACCCCCTAGACCGGTTTTCAAAGCTCGATTACTCCACGAGGAAGATGATGCTTAAACGAAACGATGCGTTTTCGGAGAGCTCTCGACCAGACGGCTTCAACGCCGCCGTCTACGGCGCTGCGATTCGTTCTGCTGTTGATAAATCGAGCTTTGAAAATTGGACCAGGGGGGATGTTATCTCGCGTCATATAAAGTAAGCCACTCTTGGCTCCAACGGACTCTACTAGACACAGGGTTGAAGCTGTATTCTAGATCGGACTAGATGCAGCGTCGAGGCTGTACTCTAGTCCCCGCCATGGATATCGCTGCTGCCGTCCAGCAGTGGTACTGTACCTGTCTTGAGAAGGTCTTTGTTGCGGAACTTGATGCTGGCCGCCCCGTTGGCCTCCAGCACTCCTCCTCGAGCGCCGTTCGCAGCATACCTGTCGACAGAGAGTCAGAAAGAGAAGAGAGAGAGAGAGAGAGAGAGAGAGAGAGAGAGAGAGAGAGAGAAAAGACCAAGAGCAAATGAGATGAAGGAAAAAACTGACGCGCTGTTCGCAACGTCCCAATGGAGAAAAAAACAGAGCTGGCCAGAAGAGAGAGATAGAGAGAGAGGAGATCAAGAACAAGTGAGATCAAACAAAAGAGAAGAAACGCTGTGACGTAGCAGCGTATCCATCGAGAAACAAACAGAGCTGGCGATAAGAGCAAGAGCGAGCAGGATCAAGACAAGACGGTTCAACATGGACCATACGTCGGCACGAGGGCGATGCCAGAAAAACTCCCCGGTAAAAGAATCACGAAAGCACGACTAGCTCGAAAAACTCCATCGACACTTGCCCCCCCCACCAACACAGCGAAAGAGCAAAACACAGAAGACACATCATTGTTATGCTGCTCGGGGAAGAGTAGAACCACACGTAGTCCCTCCGCTAACGTTATGCATTCATTGCTCATTTATCCTGGACCTGTGGATAGCGATGGACCCGTTGCGTTATCGCAAGCAAGAACAAAAAAAAACACGACCGGCTCCCTACCAGCAGCCGTCGCTACCCCCTAGGGGCGGCAAGCGGGAGGGGGGGGGGGAACCAAAACCTTGTGCCATTTATCTCCCCCTGTTGGACAAAACAATATGTGAACCGCGGCTCAGCTAGACGGGGCTGGATTGAATTGTCGTCGAGTGCCGGGTTGCCGTGCTCACATCTCCATGACGTTGGCGTTGACGGTGCTGTCAACCACCACCCAAGCGCCCCCTCTCAGCTCGGCGTGGGGGGGAATGTAGACGAAGACCGGCTGCTTGTATTCGACGAGAGCGTCCACGATCAGGGCGCCGTACTTGAGCACCTGCGGCACAATAGGTGTGTGAGAGACGTACGGTTTGCACGAAAATAGCGTAAGCCTGGGGAGGGGGGGGGGTCCCATCTTTGGGTGCCCTCGCTGCTGTTGGCGAAGGGTAAGATAATGCCGCCGGTTCTAGAGGTCAGATATTTCGCACTTTCCGGGAAAACTCCTTCCTTCCTTCCTTCCTGTATGTCCAGTCCGGACTGCACCGGTGAAGGATGGCATACAAAAGTAGTGGTTCTCGATCGAATTATGGAGACAGACAGACAGACAGACAGACAGACAGACAGACGGACAGGGAGGGGGTGCCGGATGTCTTCGCAGGCGTTTTGTTTGGTGCAGCCCGCGTCGTTGCTGTCGCACGCCTCCCACACACCCACAAACCCCCACAGGCAGTCCTCTTCCAACACTGAGCAAACACTGAGCGTTAGGTACTCACCATGATATCCTCCCTCCCCCCCCCCCATCGGGGTTGGGTTTTCGTCGCTTGGCAACGACGTTGTCAAACAAGCCCCCCCCTCGGTGTTTGCCATCGGGATTGGGTTTTCGTCGCTTGGCAACGACGTTGTAAAACAAGCCAATTCACTTCATGAACTCGGCAACCAGGTTACCGGTTTTTTTTACCTCTGCTTTTTTTTTGCGGTAACCACGAATGGTGGTCGAGTACATCATGTTGTGCGGGGTCGACAACCCTCACTCCGCGCAAGGGGGATAATCGCACCACGTTGTGTTAAATGGTCAAGCTTCCTCGAGGCAGTTACACAGTGCTTACAACTGTCTCTAGAAGTGAAAGCACCAGAAAATAAATTAAGTCATACGCAGCTGTCATCCGTACGCAAGGAAGTAAGCACAAGATGCCGAACACCCTTAGCAGGATGCAGCTCACCCTTCATGCGACTCGCCGAATACCTCACGGCGCTTCGCGCTTGGTGATGTGAGAGCCTGGTCCGGTGAGAACCCGGCGTGCTCCGTCCCGGCTTTGTAGGGATGCGAGGTCAATGGTCTAACGACTACGGCATGTACGACTATGAGTACCCTCCTCCCCCCCCCCACCCCCTCAAAACGCATTTTCGCCAGTCACCCCCCATTCCCCTTTAACCCGTCCGAACCTCGCCTGCCCAACAGAAGAAAAAAAAAAGTGGCGTGGTCATCAAAATGGCATCAGGTTCACCTCGTCGAACATGTCCCGCTGTCCGCCAGAAAAGCCTCGCCAGTTTGCGAACACCATCAGCGGGAGGCCCTCGTGGTTGAGGTCCCTGATCGCCTGTGCCGTCTTGTGCGCGCTGTCCGGGTACCACACTCCACCGGCCTATGCAGGTACGCAGGCAGGCAGAAAACGAACAACAACAAAACATTGTAATAGTAATTTAGGATGAAAACGCACGGCTATGTGTGCCTTGTTGGTTTGGTTCTTTCCGGTGGGATAGGAATCGATTCTGTCTTTAAATCCGGAGAGTGTAGGTTAGCCTCCCCCACGATGCCCTCTCGCGACCGGGGTCCCAGATCACGGTAGCCCTTTAGAAGCATCTTCTGTTTTTCAGCCGCACTGAGGCTGACGTCTTTGCATTGGTCAGCCGGCGGTTAGCGCAGCCGATGCTAACGATAACGACACACACACCCTTTTGACTAGAAAGTGTTGGTGTTTTTTGTACCGCTACAAGATTATGTCTTTTTCATTGGTCAGCCGGTTAACGCGGTCGATGCTAACAGAAAACACACACACACACACACACACACACACACACACACACACACACGCACGCCTACCTGCTGCACGATCCTCTCGTGAGACGACACGTCGGCAGGGTCGGCCGGGCAGTTCTTCTCGCGCAGCCTCCCCTCCGTCGCGACCACGCCCACGGGGATGCCTCCCAGTCTCGCCCTGCCGGTGACCACCGCCTCCGCCCAGCCGGACAGGGTCTCCGTGAACGAGCCTGACCAAGAACGAACAAATAACGAGAACGAAAGAACGAAAGAAAAAAATAAAGGAAAATGAACAAACCATAACGAACAATAGGGGTCTCCGTTAACGAGCCTGACCAAGAACGAAAGAATATCAAGAAGACTTCCATACGGTAGACAGGTGTTCCAACCCCATAGGCCGATAAACTCCCCCCCGCCGCTCCCATTTCCCAAGAAACAGTCATCCAACGGCGCTCGCACGTTGGCACACAAGTTCCTGACGAGAGCAGACACAAGAGACGGGAGCACGACTACACCGCTATCCCTAACGTAGACGTCCACCAACTCCCGCCAGATAACAAAAGAGACCTCTACAGGCACAACCAAGGGTGTTCAATGGCGGCGTGGCGTGCTTATAAGGCCCGGGATTGCTTACCCTTGTCGAAGAAGCCACTGGTCCAGCTGCCGTCCAGGCCCTCGTCGTGCCCCGCGATCATGTGTCGCGGATCGCACGGGACTCCCTTCATCGGCTGGAACTCGACCTCCCTCTCCACGTTGTCCACGCCGGCCATGCTCAACTTAGAAAAAAGAAAAAGAAAAAGAAGAGGGCAAGAGACGACCGAAGACAGAAACGTCAACACAGCTGTCAAGAACAAAAATGGGTAAAATATAAAATACGAAGACAGAAGAGAAGCAGACATTCGTCAAAAGGGTTGTGTTTATTTTTATTATTAGCATCGACCGCGCTAACCGGCTGACTAATGAAAAGACGTCAGTCTTATGTGCGGTTGAAAACGCAAAATGCTTCTAAAGACCACGATCTGGGACCCTTGTCACGGAGCGTCATGGGGGAGCCTACGCTACGCTCCGGATGAAAGAAAGACAGGGTAGCAAGAACAGAAGAAAGCTCCAGGCGTTTTTACCATGACTGCTACAGGTACTTCTTTGGACGCGCGTTCGTTTTAGATTGATTAGATCGTCTTTCCTACGTTAACTACCGCTACTCTCGTCGTCAGTATTCCCACTGCTTTTTGGCAGGTCCCCTCTATAACAGTCCTGCGGCGTTTTTGTTGTGAGGAAGGTCATCTGGCTCAATTTTTGTATATCGATCCATCGCCAAGCTGACGAACCGTTCGGAATCAAGTTCATCAAGCAGACGGTAAACAAAGCTAATGCACAGAGTGTTCCA